GGCGGGGGCGGCAGACGCGCGCGGCGGAAGCGTTCTCGCGTACTCCAGCTCGGCTTCGCGGCGGGGACTTGGGGCTTCCCTGAGCTGCGTCCGAGTCGAGATGCAGACAGCTCAGCAGCACGACAGCGCCAGGACATAAACAGAGGAATTAGTAACAGTCAAACAGCAATAAACGGAGAGATATGTTGAAAATGGTGTTGAACCACGAGTTAGTGAAAATACTTTTCTTAGAAATACAGCGACGCAATACACAAGGACCAGCGGGGCGGCGCGGAGCAGCAGCGGGGCGGCGCGGAGCAGCAGCGGGGCAGGCGGGCAGCGGGGCAAGGCGGCCTAGGGCAGAAAACACAAGTGAGATTGGGTGGGCGTTAAACAAAACAAGACGCAATGGGCCGTCTTACGTTACCATCATCGCTGTTTGGAGCAGGAGCTCGAGGCGGGGGTAGACAGCTAGCTGAAGGGCTGGCTAAAGCTAGGACAGAGTATGGGAATTAGAACAAAAAGAAAACCAAACTGTGTAATGGGTGTGATGCATTGCACTGACCTGTAGAGCTAGAGAGAAAGGTCTTCAAGGTCTTTGTTATATTGTCCTTTCAAATAAATTATGCAATAATGTCGGTCGATAGAACTTTGAAATAAATGATGTTTAGTAAATCGCGGTCGATAGAACTTCGAAATAAATGATGTTTAGTAAATCACGGTCGATAGAACGTTGAAATAAATAATGAATAATAAATCGAGGTCGATAGAACTTTGAAATAAATGATGTAAAATAAATCGAGGTTAATAGAACTTTTGATTAAATGATGTTATAAATTGCGGTTATAATATAACTTTCAAATAATAACTTTTGCAATAATCCGATTTAGTTTCCGGTACCGATGTGCTGCGAAATACTCCGTTTACATCGACGAGCGCGAGCGATTTGCGACAGACGGCGATGTCCGATTGAACAATAAAGTGTTACGGATAGGTCTGCTGTGATTGGAGATGAGTATTGGAAGTTGTGGGCTCATGTGTTTGTTTTGAATCCCCCGTTAGAAGTTAAACAGTGCCAAATAGGCTTCAAAAATGGCTGAAAAGCTAATCAAAGTGGACATTCGCACAATTTGGTGCTAATATAATTAAACGAGCGCGACCGTGCAGGGCGGCCAAACAAGAAGACGATTTGGAGGAGTTCCACCGACGAACGACGACCAAGTTACTCACCAACTGCAGCGGCATGAGCCGCGACCATGCCACCGCAGGCACCATGCTCAGCGCTCGCCCGTGTTGTGGTCGTGGAGGTGGAAGTCGACTTGGGGCATCCAACGGCCGAAGGGAATGACCATGTGCTTCGGACACTTTCTTGCTGTTGGAGCACTCGCGCATAGGATTCACTTTAGGGGGGGGGGGGGGAGACCGAAGGGCTGTTTGGCCCGTTTAGCAGAGTATCATTATGGGACGGCAAAGCCTACAAAACGAACTTGTCAGCCAACGAGTCCATGAGAGCACTAAACAAGAGCACTTGGGGGCGCTGGGGACGCCGCGAAAGCCACCCCGCCGGGCGAATGGGCTCGGAGTAGAGCGATGTTTGGATACCGATCGGCGCCAGGCAATCAAACAGTTTTTACTGCAAAACAATCACGCAGGAGCCAACGAGGGCTGGGTATGGGTGCTATGGGAGAAGAGCGACATGTTAATCTCGGCCGCCCTCGTCGGGCGCAGCGTAACAAAACAATCAAATCGGCCACGCCGGGCGGCCGCATGACTCGGCGATCACTTTCACTTCCGTTCAACAGTTTAAAACGCCCTGGAATTTACCTCCCTCGTTCCCCCTTTAGAGCCAGAGACCAGTCTGGGGTGAAAATGGGAGAAAAGAACACACGCGGAGGTCAGATCAAACCGGGCGCAAGGGAGCCACAGGGCCAACGAGGCTGGAGCACAGCGAGGGGGCGGACGGACACACGTTGAGTCAGTTGAAGGTGATGTGATGGCAGACGGCAGCAGACGCGGCGAGGAAGCTAAACGCGGCCAACGCGACCCACACTTGGACGGGACGGACTTACAAATACAACGCATCGGGTTGCACGGCAGCAGGGCAGGGCCCGCACCGGAGCTCCGGGCTCCACGAACCAAACGAGCAGAGTGAACTGCTGTGCAGTGCACTGACCACCGACGAGGTCGACTTCCGGCTCCGCGGAGGAGCAGAGCTTCTGCTACGCATCGTCTGCTCGAAGGGAGGGGGTGGACTGGGGTGGATCCTTCGTGTATACCATTTTAATGGCTTTCAAGGTTCTAGTAGGGCATTCATGAATAAAATTCAGTGTTATGAAAACTTAATAATACTTTATTCAACAGAACAGTTAAATCGAGTTTAGTTCTCTACACTATAATTTTCCCTGCAATTTGAAGTGGAGAAGCGAACTGTTTGGTACTAACATTGATTGATGCTGGTTTCAGTTACATCAGCGATAAGGGGTATTTCACAGGACTTGAAATATATATACATATTATTCTACCACGAATATTTTTAATTCTCCTCTTACATTACTTTTTTCAGTTTGACATCGGCAGTACAGAGATGGATGTTTGAAACTGTAATGCATCTGTATCGGTCGCTTAGTTACACGCAATGTGGCAAAAACAGGAACCTGTAAACTTAGCAATACGCGGCCCCACTTCCTTCACCTCACCATGGAGTGCCGCACGTCACTAACTTTACAGGCCCCTGGTGAAATAACAGCTGTGGAGACTATCTGAACTAATATTACTTGATCCATCGTTTTGCAACATTTTCAACTTCAAATCTCTAATTAAAATCCACAGTGGAATATCAGAAAAATTAAAAAGAAAATAACTATTTGAATAAATAGAATAACAAATATATCACAAATGTTAGTTAGTTTTTTTTCTCCCAGTTTAAAATATGTATACATACATTATCACATTCACACTTAACAATAACTAATTCAAGAATGTACAATCATCAGTAGACTCAATACTTTAAAACACAGTGCAAAACAATGTACAACAGGTTGTCATCAAGTAAAATTTGATATTCTGATTACAAAGTAGGGGATGAAAGGATTGTAACACTGAGATTCAGAAAACTGCTTTACAATTTAAAATGTAATTGAACTTTTATCTTCATAATACATCTTAGATAACAACTGAAAAATGTAATTGGCAAACTAAACAGTTACAATTTATCTAAACAACAAATGCAAAAACAAATGAAAAAAAAGAATGTTTAGAATATAGTCTTTGTGATAGAGAATGGTTCACAGCTTTGCAGCTGGAACCTGACAAGCATCATCATTAAATTAAACATGCTGCACCCCAATTACGATAATTTTGAATAGCTGGGTGGAGAGAACTTTTTGCGAAGGAATTTCAAAATATACAATGGAAGACAGCTTACAAGTGTAATGAGTAGCACCTTCCACAAGAAGTCTCTAGTCTGAATAAAATCAGCATCTGAAATTTAAAAAAAAAACAGAAAGTGTTAAGATTATACACTAATAGTAATGATGCAAATATGCTGCTATTTTAGATACAAAGACAGAGACTCACCAAAGTAGTCTTTGAAGATGACCAAGGTAAGGATGTACAGACCAAGAGAGAGTAGTTCAGCTAATGCCATTAAAATGTGCCATCTTCTGATAGTCAAAGCAACCATTATTAATTCTGTGAGAATTAGGGCTGTGAAACTAATGGCTACAATGTGTATGAACTCATCTTCAAATAGAACCAGAGCACCATACATAATGACACCACCTGTGGTAAGCAAATCATTACTAGCCTCTCACTTTCTTGGAATAAGGTCAGTGTTAGTCACATTTAAAACACATACCTTGATATATACTGATGAGTACCCACATATAAAATGTTTTGAAAGACAAGGATCTTCCCTTGCTTAGTTCCTTGTATAGTTCTGGATATTTTAAAGCAATTTCTCCAGATACATCCTTATCCAGAACAAGAGAAAATACAGGGAACATGGTATAAAGAGTTGCATATCTGCAAGAGCAAAAGTGCATATTTGTAATACATGGATTTGTAAAATTAACAGAAGTATAGAAAATAAATGAAATACATGAAATGACATACCCAACCATAAGAAATCCTTGATACAATGCCACAGATGAAAAATAAAATACAGCAGAAAATATTGCCTGCATTGTGGATATAATAAGGCCACGATGGATGACAAATTGAGACAAGGATGCTGACCGCTTGTAACTTCTACGACCATGAACCAGTAAAAGACGAGCTACATGGCTGAATTGAGTTATGGAAAAATCAGCAGCAAGTGATGCTTGCTTGCCTTCACGACCAGCTATTCCAATACCTAGAATTAGCATAACGGCAATATTACTAAAAAATTCACACGGAAAATTGAATTAAAATTTATATTTGATTGATTCAATGAACCAGCGAAATGTTCCACTAACCTGCATCGGCAGCTTGAATCATGCTCACATCATTACCACCATCACCAACTGCAGCAGTTCTTTTGCCAGTGTGTTGTTGAATTAATGTTACAACGGTGGCTTTCTGTGTTGGCGAGCACCTGCAGCACACTACTGCTGGACAGCTACATGCTAATTCTAGAAACTCGTCTTGATAATATTGAAGACAGAGCTGCAGAAGAGACAAAGGATTAGATGTTGAAACTTAGAGTGCATTCCTATACAGCTAGAGGAGGAGCATTTGAGCTTACCTCCAAAGCATCTCCACTGATAACAAGGGCACAGTCTTGTCTTCTCCCAAAATGATTCAGTTCCTGGTGAACCTCTGTTCTAGTGCTGACTTGTTTAAAAATATGTAATGATTGTGTTCTTGAAACAAGCCTTGAGGACTTAGCAATACAAGTGGCTGTTTCTAATTTATCACCAGTAAGCATCCAAATCTATAAAACAGAAAATTAGAATAAGTTGCTGTTTAGGTAAAACTGCCAACTAACTAGCACATTGCTAAAGATACCTTAATGCCACCATTACGGAGTGTTTCAAGGGTATTTCTGACATTATCTTGTAACCTATCCTCCACACCAGTAACGCAGAGAAGCTCTAGGCCCTGCTCTAAACTTTCAATGGCTGCGGCAACGCGTGTTACACGGTCGGTGATAGCTAATCTTGCTGCATTATACCGAGTCTAGAATAGATAGATACTTTGTTAGACAAATAAACTTTAACAAAAATACACTTTAGCGATGGATATTATTTCACCTCAAAGTCTAGATATTGCTCTTCAGACAAAACTTTTTTGGCAACAACTAGGGTTCTCAAACCTTCCCTGGCCATATTACCACACTCTTCTTCCAGCCAATCATTATATTGTACAATAGATGACATAACAACATCAGCTCCTTTCAAATAGAACACAAGTTGACCAGTCTGTTCCTCCTGAGAAAAAAACAACAAATTTTGAATAAGACCACTACCATTTAACTATTATTCAAATTCACACAAGCTGATTCTTACCCGCACAATGATTCCCATTCGTTTTGACTCAGATGTAAAAGGAAATACTTGAAGGATTGTGTAATCCAGAAGATCTCCAGTAGGTGTGCGTAATGTCATTGAAACAAGGTCCCGTTTAACAAGAGCTAATCCAACCTCTTCAGTCCATTTAACTAATGCAACCTAAAAAATAACAATAAAATGAATAGTATCATGTAGTCAGTGCACATCAGAAAAGCCACAAAGGAAATACAGATATGTATCTAACTCTACCTCATCTGGACTAGCTGCCTGGTAAACAACAGTCTTTGCTTGTTGCTCCTGCAAGTAATGTTGGTCTGCTTCAGTCTGAGACTCCATAGATCCTGCTCCAGGGCTACCTGGGGTTTCAGAAGGCCTGCCAATGAAATAAAACAGGATGTCAATTAATGAAACAAATCACAAATCTCTCACAGTTATAATTTTATGTTTGGAATCTCACCCAGCAGAATCTTCCACAGGTGTGACATTGTGACACAATGCAACAGCTCGAACAGCTTCGAGGACACGGGTAACCTCAGACCGTCGCACTTTCATGGGGGCTGGTGTGGAGCCAGTGCTGTGTTTGTTTGTAGAATGTTCTGATGACGATCCACCTTGAGACTGCTGTGCAAATGCCACTTTTAAGTGGGAAGTCACAGCTCCAAAACTCTCAGATCCAAATGAAACTGTGCCAAGGTGTAATTTCTTGAAAACCATTTCGTTTTGGGTGAGTGTCCCTGTCTTGTCACTCAACAAGTAAGATATACGCCCAAGTTCTTCAGGAATAGTTGTGGAGCGTACAACTGTGCCAGCAATTTCCTTGTCCTTCTGGATAGACCAGGAATAAAATGCTTTCCCCATATCAAGATTAACTCGCAAACTGATGGGAATGATGTAAGAAAACAGAAGAACAAACCGAAACATGTATCGGTACCATGGCCCACTCCAGCCTTTTAAAATCATCATGACCAATGCTAGACCAACAACGGCACCAAACAAAACCTGCAAACAGAATTGTGAACAAATATAGTTGTTAACATTTCCTTTAAAGACTTAGGAAGATTTTAGTCATGCATATTTTGAAAATAAAACTCACCTTAGTAAGTTGGTTTATTTCCATATCTAAGAGACCCACTTTGGAACGAGGTTGAGAGTTATTCATGACACTTCGAGTCTCTCGTCCTGTATACACCACAACACCTAATGCGGTACCACTGGCTACAACACAATTAGCCCAGAGAGTATTTTCCACATCTAAACTTTCTGATCCACCGTGACCATCACTCTGAAATATTTTTCAAGTCAACAAAATTATTACAAATTCCAGCAGTACAGCAAAATTACTTATTTAGTTTTTTATCTTGCATACATACCCTACTAAAAGTCCCAGCAAAACTGTGAATGTCTCGTTTGGGTTTTTCCACAAAGAGTGATGCACATATATCAAACATATGAAAATCATTTTCCAATTTTTGAGTATCAGGAACAGCGAGACGAAGTTTCCAGTCAGTTTCACCATCCAACTGATCAGTACGAACAAAACATGCTCCAGTTTTCTCTGTTGTGCGTAAGAGTACTAAATCTGCCGGCACTCGCTGGTCTTTCTCAACAATTATCTGCAATATTACCATAAAAAATGAAAAAAATAACAATCAAATCAGTTCAATCAAAAACGAGAAAGGCACAGTATTTTTAGACTATGAAAAATGAAGAACTTACCACGTCCCCAACTCGTAGCTTAGAAGATGGAACTAATTCAGGAGATTCCCTACCATGAACAAGTCTCCTGTACTTTTGGCCATTTACTTCCTTGTCTCGCTGATGTCTACGGAAATCATCTATAGCTTCTCGGAATATAGTTACCGTCAAAACGAATCCCTACAAGAAAAATGCTGATAACATAACTGACATATGGAAGATTACTTCAAAGACAATTAAGTACTGAATAAAACCTTACCAGAGGTCCCCAATAAGTATAAAGGTAACCAATCCGTATGTCTGGAATAAATTGGCTGGTAGCCATGACCAAAAAGTATAAGTTGAGGAAGAATTTGAATTGTTGAAACAAGACCTGTTGACGGAAGTCAAAATTAAAACAGGATAAAGTATACAAAGGGTAATGTGCTCAAAACATTTGGAATAAAATTGACTTACCATAGGAAGGAAAGTAAGAATGTTGTACTTTTGGTTGCGTATCACATTGGGTGGGAACTTTTCTCGACTTGGATGGCCCAAGGTGATGGTTCGAGATTTGAGTTCCCTCGGCCTGCAACATCTTCCCCACAGCCACAGGCAGCACCTATGAACAAAGGAAGAAAAACATTAAATTAAAAATTTATGCACAATTCAACGATGGACGAGAGAAACAAGGGGCACCGTCCCTAAAATATTGACAACAAAAAGGCAGTTTCAAATGGCAACATTATTAATTCCTTTGTCAGTTAGGTTAGGAATAGAGTCTAAACTGAAGTAGAAATTAATTCCCACATGGACAGTGAATACTTGACTTCTCCACGACATCACAAATACAAATTCCATTCAAATATATATTTAGTTAGGTACTCTTAAACGTTACAAACTAAAATCAATATTTTCTGTTGTGAAGAAGCCTAACCTGGAGAAGACATTCCGTTTCGGTTTCCCGATCAAAGGAATATCCTCCTTGGTCGCCTGCGACGTCGAACCCCCCTCGCTTGGACTGTGATGGGGGGCCATCATTTCTAGTCAGAATCCCTCCATAACTCGCGAATTGAGAGGAATTTCCACTGAGGATGACAGCTCGCAAGTTTGCAAGGGACACGGGATCCCCATCGATTTGCGCTCTCTGCGCACTCCCCGCGCGCATGGCGGTGCGTCACCCCGCCCAGCCCAAGCGAGGCGCGCCAACATTCAAGTGTGCCGCTCCCCCCGATGACCCATGAGTCTCCCGATAAACCGGGGCCCCCAAAAGCCGTTCGCCAACACCGCGTGGTTGATAATTCGTTTTGGTGCGTTTGGGGTACCCCCCCCCCCCTCGTTATCACCACGACCCCCGAGGCGCACGCCGCAGCCGCACCAACCTCCTGGCGCCGTCCCTCCGCCGCCATGGCCGCCACCTGGCTTTGGCCGTCCTCCTCCCTATGAGCCCGTCGCGCTCCCCGCCGACGTGCGGGTCGCTGCTGGAGCCGCCACGGCTGCCCTTCGCGGCGAGGGAGCGGCCGTGATCGACATCGAACACTTCGTGACGCATCCCGGGCGCCGGGCGCACGGCACGGGTACACTCAGGACGAGACTGAGGCGGGGCACGGCGCGGGCGCCTTATCCGAGCTAATCGCAGTCAGATAAGCTAGACGGAAGGGCGTCAGAGGAGGGCGTCGGAGGAGGGCGGCGGAGGAGGGCGGCGGAGGAGG